TCCCTCCTCCTCCTCCCCCTCCTCCTCCCCTCTCCTCCTCCGCCCCTCCTCCCTCTTCATCCGCCCCCTCCCTCTTCCGCCCTCCCCGTTTAGCTTCGTCTTCCTCCTCCCCCTCCTCCTGCTCCTCCTCCATCCTCCTCCCTCCCTCCCTCCCTCCCTCCCTCCCTCCCTCTCCTCCTCCTCCTCCTCCTCCTCCTCCTCCTCCTCCTCCTCCTCCTCCTCCTCCTCCTCCTCCTCCTCTTCCTCTTCTTTCTTCTCCTCTTCCTCCTGCTCCTCCCCCTCCTCGATCTACGGCACGAAAGACGCTGGCCGGGCATGGTAAGTGCGTCTTCGATCCTTCCGAGAGGAAAGGCATTCACGAGTCCAATCTCGAGTACGGAGTGTACATGTACCGCCTCTGTGGGGAGCTGGAAATGGTCATTCACAGACTCGTGGAGCACTTGCTGGTGGCCCAGAAGTTGGTCAACAGCCCCGCGGTGGACTCGCTCCTGGAGGAGATGTCTAAGTTCCTGCACCTCGAGCGGCGAGACCATGAGTTCGAGTACTGCGGCGTGAACATCAGTATCTGCGAGAAGGGAGTCCGAGTTTCCCAATCCAAGGCCGCAAAGGCCAAGGATTGCGTGCCGCTGGGCAACGAGCGTAAGAAGCACCCCGACGAGTCAGCGAGTCAGCGTCCGATGAGGAGCTCAGCGCATGCCGCAGTACTAGCGGCCAGATACAACGGCTCGCACATCGATCGAGTCCGGACGTCGCCTCCGAGCATGACCGCTTGGCCCAGCGGACCTCAGACCTCAAGGTGTGCGACCTCATCGACGCCAACAAGCTGGTAGGCTACGTCTGGCAGATTATCGAGCATGAGATGTAGTTTCGTAGAGGCGTCGTGGATATCAAACAGGCCACCGTTCTCGCATACGGGGACTCATCGTTCGCAAACGTGCGAGAAGAGCCAGGAAGGTGCTGTGCTTTGCCTCGCGACCAACCCGAGGGAGGTCATCGAAGGGTTCTTCGACTTGCAGATCCAACTCGTGCGGGCCAGCTGCCTGGTGAAGCGCGTCGTGAGATCTGGCCTACAGCATCAGTGAGGCAACGGGGCGCGGCCAGTTCTTACGACAGTTTCTGTATGTCCTCTACTCTTCGGGAGGAACGACGCTGCGTGACATCGAGGCCGAGTCACCGAAGCGGCCACCGCTGGTGGCTACAGATAGCGCCAACCTGAAGGTTACTGTCAACAAGGACAGCGGCAGTGTCGGGGACAAGAGGCTTCGCATGGTCGTCTCGATGTTGCGTGAGAGTGTACAAATAGAGGAGGACGCCGCACTGATGTAGACGCGGGCGGATGCTATGGTGGCAGACGGCTTAACCAAGGCAGATGTGTGTCTGGTACTACTGCTCGCGTTCTTCCGATCCAAGAAGTTCGAGATTCCTCCATCGCAGAGGAAACGCCAGGCCGCAAAGCAGACGGCAGTGTTGATCACTATGCCACTTACAGCGTCCAGTTTGAGTGAGAAGTACGATGGAGATCGATGGTGATGAGGCCACTTTCTGTGACGACCATCCCGTGCCAGCCACTAAGCAGACCTTCATGTTGCACAAGGAAGTGCCCACCATTGGGAGACCCAGGACACGAGCGCCACGACCTGAAAATAGAAACTGCCGGAAGATTTAGCCTTCACTTCGTTCAAAGAGCAGCTGCAGATAGAAGGCCTGAAATTTACCCCTGTGGTCTGTGGAGTCCAAATCGGGCGGCAAGAAGCGATGAATATGGCAGCAGGAGTTTGCTACTAATTCGACCCCGACTCAGCGATGGCAGGGAAGCTTCGGCTGCGAGGAGCTTTCTGTTTGTACAAGGAGGCCCGCGGTGCCGCGACGACCGCGAGCAGTTCGACTTGATGAAGCAGGACATTCATGCTCTCTGCTTTCGAGCGATGCTGATGATGATGATGATGCTGATGATGATTCTTGTGCTGATGATGACTTTGTTGATGATGCTGGTCATGATGCTGGTGATGATGATGATGATGGTGATGATGATGATGATGCTGTTGCTTCTGATGCCGATGATGCTGATGCTGCTGCTGCTGATGGTGCTGATGGTGAAGGTGATGCTACTGCCTCTGCTGCTCATGATGATGCTGATGGAGATGAAGATGATGATGATGATGATGATGATGATGATGATGATCATGAGGATGAGGATGATAATGATGATGATGATGATGATGATGCTGATGTTGATGATGATGATTATGCTTATTGTGACTATGATGGTGACGACGACGATGATGATGATGATGATGATGATGATGGCGGTGGTGGTGGTGATGATGATAAGGCTGATGATGATGCTGATGCTGTTGATGATGAAGATGATGATGCTGATGCTGTTGATGATGATGATGATCATGATGGTGATGATGATGATGATGATGATGATGATGATTATGCTGATGATGATGATGATGATGATGATGATGGTGCTGATGATGATGATGGTGATGGTGATGGTGATGGTGATATGACGATGACGATGATGATGCTGATGATGACGACGATGATGATGCTGATAATGATGACAATGATGCGGATGATGATGATGATGATGATGATGATGATGATGATGATGATGATGATGATGATGATATGATGATGATGATGCTGCTGATGCTGATGATGATGATGTGGTGGTGGTGATGATGATGATGGTGCTGATGGTGATGATGGTGATGATGATGCTGATGATGATGATGATGATGATGATGACGACGACGATGATGATGATGATGATGATTCTGAGGATGCTGATGATGATACTGATGCGGATGATGCTGATGCTGCTGCTGATGATGATGATGCTGATGACGACGACGACGACGACGACGATAATGAGATGATGATGATGATGATGATGATGATGATGATGATGATGATGATGATGATGATGATGCTGATGATGATGATGATGATGCTGGTGATGATGATGATGATGATGATGATGATGATGATGATGATGATGATGATGATGATGATGATGATGATGATGATGATGATGCTGATGATGATGATGATGGTGATGATGATGTATCTGATGCTGCTCATGATGATGATGCTGATGCTGATGCTGATGCTGCTGATGATGAGGATGAGGATGAGGATGAGGATGAGGATGCGTATGAGTATAAGTACGAGGATGAGGATGAGGATGAGGAGGAGGAGGAGGAGGAGGAGGAGGAGGAGGAGGAGGAGGAGGGAGGAGAGAATGAGGAGGAGGAGAAGGTGGAGGAAGCGGAGGATGAGGAAGAGAGCGGAATTGAAGGGAGAGGGATGAGAGGGAGGATCAGGATGAGAAAGAGGAGGAGGAGGAGGAGGCGGAGGAGGAGGAGGAGGAGGAGGAGAAGGACGAGGCGGAGGAGGAGCAGGAGGAGGAGGATGAGGAGGAGGAGGAGGAGGAGGAGGATATGGGGAGCAGGAGGGGCAGGTGGAGGAGAAGGGGCAGGAGGAGAGGGAGGCAAAGGACAAAGGAGGAACAGGAGGAGGATATGGTGGAGAAGGATCAGGTTGAGGAGGAGGACGACGACGACGAAGAAGAGGAGCAGGAATAACAATAATATTAATAACACGGATAATCGTACTAAGAACAAAACAGACGGGGTGGAGGTGGACGAGGAGGAGGAGGAGGGAGGAGAAGGAGGAGGAGGAGGAGGAGGAGGAGGAGGAGGAGAGGTGTGGCAGAACGGGCCCGCGCCCTTCCACGACCTCCCTTCTTGGCCTCGTTTTTTCCGTCGTCCTCATCTTCCCTTTCGTTGTCCTTTCCTGTCCTGGTAGAGGACGCTGACATAAGAAGCAGTTCGGGTTTGGAAGGGGCTCGCGGTTGCCCCGGTTCTTCACCGTTGTTTTTGTAGAGTTTCTTATGCACCCATGCGCTTTCGGGGCCAACAAAAAGAACACTTCGCTCCTGATTCCTGGTCCCGTGGGGGCCCATGCTAAGAAACACCCTGTTCGTCTCCAGGGTGCCCTGGGTTTCTTGGGTTTCGATGGTTTTGCGATGGCAAGCGTGACGCTCCCACACCAAAAATCAATGGACGTCCTGGGGTCTCAGGGTTGGGTCTCTTGTGGAAGGTTTCTTGTGGACTGGCCCCCACTGTATGGTGGTAGAGGAGGCTGCGTCTGAGATGGGCGGACTCGTTGGCTGCGTGAGCTGTCCAGGGCGTAGCAGGCGCGGCATTTTCTCCACACCAGTAAGGGGTGCGCAGGGGGGGGGCGCCATCCGCCCTGGTTGCCCATGGCACAGCAGGCATGGCACTTCCGTGACCACCTAGCATCATCCAGGTATGTTGCACGTCAGCTAGGCTGAGACAAGAGTTATAACGAAGTATGCGGGGTTCCTCGCTCCTCCTCCTCCTCCCCCTCCTTCCCCTCCTCCTCCTCCTCCTCCTCCTCCTCCCAGCGTAATTCGTGCCTCACCATGTTCGTTTCCTGATCGCCCGTTGCACGGATTGCCCCTCAGGGGGCCGCTCTGGTCACCAGAGCAGGCACGCAGAGATTGCTTCCTGCTCCATCCTGTTCAGCTACAGGATGAGGAGGATGAGGAGGAACAGGAGGAGGATGATGATGATGAGGAGGAGAAGGGGGATGATGATGATGATGCTGCTGCTGCTGCTGATGATGATGCTTATGATAATCATGATGATGATGATGATGATGATGATGATGATGATGATGATGATGATGATGAGGTGATGATGATGACGATGAGGAGGAGGAGGAGCAGGAGGATGATGATGATGATGATTATGATGATGATTATGATGATGATGATGCTGATGATGATGATGCTGATGATGCTGATGATGATGATGATGCTGATGCTGATGATGATGATGATGCTGATGATAATGATGATGCTGATGATGATGATCATCATGACGATGACGATGACGATGACGATGATGATGATGATGATGATGATGATGATGATGATGATGATGATGATGATGATGATGATGCTGATGCTGATGCTGATGCTGATGCTGATGCTGATGCTGATGATGATGATGCTGATGCTGATGATGCTGATGATGCTGATGATGATGATGATGATGATGATGATGATGATGCTGATGATGATGATGATGATGATGATGATGATGATGATGATGATGATGATGATGATGATGATGATGATGATGATGAGGAGGAGGAGGAGGAGGAGGAGGAGGAGGAGGAGGAGGAGGAGGTGGAGAAGGCGGAGGAGGAGGAGGCGGAGAAGGAGGAGGAGGAGGCGGAGGAGGAGGAGGAGGAGAAGGAGGCGGAGGAGGAGGAGGAGGGGGAGGATACGAGTACTATACCCTCCCCCTCTCGAAGACGTCCCGAGAGAGTTGCGCGCCCCCCTCCGTGCATCTCGTCTTCTTGCGCACAGGAGCGGTGCGGTCATGCATTCCTGCTGTGTTTTTCCTGATTCTTGGGCTTACGCCACGCCGCCGACCGCTTTGGGAACTGGCGGTCGTTGCGTGTTGCTCCTGAGGGCCTCTGGTGCGTCTTTTTGGGGGCTTCTTGGAGCTCTTTTGGGCCTCGTGGGGGTCTCAAGGGATCCGTCGCCAGTGGGCTACCAGGACGCTCCCCCCCCCCCTCCCGGGCGACCGCGCACCGTGAGCCCGTTGACAGTGGGGTCCACTGTCAAGTGGCCCTCCCGGCCGCCCCCCTCTCCCGACCGCCCGTTGCGAGTCCGCTTGAAAGTGGGGTGTCAAACTGGCGTCCAGCCCTCCCCCCGTGACGCGCCCGGCCCGCGCGCAGCGGGTCCGTTGACAGTGAGGCCCACTGTCAAATGGCCCCCCCGCGGCCCCCTCCCCCCCCCTTGATCCGTTGACAGTGGGGGGCCACTGTCAAATGGCCCCCCCTCCAGGGCCCCCCCCCCCACCTTCTCCAAACCGGCTGGGCCGGGCCTCCGGGGGAGGGGTAGGGGAGGGTGAGCATCTCACACGCCGAGGAACCCCCAAGGGGTCGGCGGATCCGAACGTTTTTGGGGTCCTTCCAAGTGGAGCTCCCGCTCCTCCCCCCTCGCCTCCGCCTCTGAGTAATTATTTTTGCCGTCCTCCCTCTCGCCGCCGCCGCCGCCGTCGTTGCTGTCGGTGTCTGCACGGCGTCTTCTTGTTTCGGAGCCGCGCCCCCACCAGCGGAACTGGTTGTTTCACTTACTTGCCAATGCACAGCTGACGTGCACGCTTAGTATTATCATCATTATCACTCTTAGTATTATTCTTATTCTTATTATTCGTATTATTTTTATCAGTATTATTATTAGTATTATTTCTAGTTAATTATTATTGTTAGTATTAGTATTAGTATTAGTATTAATATTAGTATTAGTATTAGTATTAGTATTAGTATTATTATTATTATTGTTGTTATTCTTATTACTATTCTTTATTAGTAATACTACTACTAGTATTATTATGATTCTTATTTGTATTATTTTTTAGAATGCATGTTTGATTTTTAGTATGATTATTCACATTATATTTCTCTTACTACTGTGCAATGCTTTTTTTTTCCGCTCTCTCTCTCTCTTTCCAAGTGGTTCTCCCGCTGCAGCGTGGGCCTCATCCGAGGATCGGCACTCTGCTCCCGCCGTTCAGACATGGCACTCTCGCCCCAGCGCGGGCCACTCTTCCGGGCCCGGCTCCTGCCTTCTCGCCGTCCTCCCCCCCTCTTCCCCTTCCTCCGCCTTCCCCTGGTCCTCCTGCTCCTCACGCTCCTTCCACCACACCTCCTGCTGCTACTGTTCCTCATCGTTCTCCTCCTCCTCCCTCCTCCTCCTCCTCCTCCTCCTCCTCCTCCTCTTCCTCCTCCTCCTCCCCCTCCTCATTTACCTCCTGCTCATCCTCCTGCTCATCCGCCACCCCCTCCTCCAACGTGCGCAGCTCCCCGTTTCCGACTGCGTGCAGCACGCCGAAGTCCTCTCTGCATTTCGAGGTCTCCGCTGATGCAGGCGTCGGCGGACAGAGCGCACCAATCGGCGCAATTGGAGGGGCTGGGTGGGAGGTGTGGGCTGTCAGATGTGGCGCAAGCACGCCTCGCTTGCCTGTCCCTCCTGTTCCTCCTCCTCCTCCTCCCTCCTCCCCCTCCTCCCCTCCCCCTCTCCTCCTCCTCCTCCCCTCCTCCTCCTCCTCCTCCCCTCCCTCCTCCTCCTCTCCCCCCTCCTCCCCTCCTCCTCCTCTTCTCCTCCTCCCCTCCTCCCTCCTCCTCCCCTCCTCCTCCTCCTCCTCCTCCTCCTCCTCCTCCTCCTCCTCCTCCTCCTCCTCCTCCTCCCTCCTCCTCCTCCTCCTCCTCCTCCTCCTCCTCCTCCTCCTCCTCCTCCTCCTCCTCCTCCTCTCCTCGGTGGGAGGGCGCCTCCTGGCCCCCGGCACGCATCCTGCGCAGTGACTCTTAGCTTCCGCCAGCCATCAGGTGCCGACCCTGGTCAGGCCATCGCTGGGGCGGCAGCGGCCGGGTATCCAGCTGCAGGCGGGCATCCGCCACTCATTGTGATGCTGATGCTGCTGATGTGGCTGATCATGTGGATGTTTTTTTTAGTTGATACAGTTGTTGATGACCATGATGGTGGTTCTGCTGATGCGCATGATAAGGCTGATCAGGGGTGCGATGATGAGTAGGTGAAGAATGAGCCCCCGCCACCTTTCCTTCCCTCTCCCTCTTCAGCCGCCTCCTGCATCCTCATATTCTCTTCTGTCCCCACGTCTCCCATCCCCCTCTCGCCTCTCTCTTTCGTCCCCTTTCTTCACCCCTATCCTTGCCTGTGTTCCCCTGTCCCTCTCTTTCTCTCCCGTATGTGTGTGTGTGTGTGTCTTTCTCTCTCTCTCTCTCTCTATAGATATATACACATACTTGCCTATACAAATGTATGCGTACATGTGTATAAGTTATCTTCCTCTTCCCTTCTCGTCTTATCTCCCTATCTTCCTACCTCCCCATCTCCCTTCCTCTCTCTCTAGTGTTGGCTCGAGTGCCTGTTGTGGGCACGCGCAGCCACATCCGCTTGCTCGCAGGCGCCCTTCACACTCGCGCCATGAAGGCGCCGGAGCCTTTCTCCCCCAGGCACCCCCCGCTTCCGCGGCGCCGCCCGTGCCCCGCGGCTGCCGCCCCGCCGCTGGCCGCTTCCCCACAGGCGACCGCTGCGACGGCAACGACTGCTTCAGCGCCTTGTTCCGAGACGGCGGGCACCCTTCCGCGCGCTCGCCCGCGGCCCGCCGCATGCGACGGCGAGGCCGTCCGTCGGCTGCTTGACGGCCCGCGCCCCCCCCCCCCCCCGAAAGAGTGGCTGCGACGGGCGTGCGCACCGCCAGCACGACTGCGTACTGGGCTCGGCATCGTCGAGCTGGGCACGGAGAGGAAGGGTCGCAGGCCCAGAGATTGGCACCAACACCAACATCGGCGGTGTTGCATCCACTAGGGGAAGAAGATCCCGGTCTCGGTGATGGTGGTAATATTCTGGCTTCCAAGGTGACCGAAATATTAGCACCAACGCCGAAATCTGGGATCATCTTCCCCCTGTCGAGGCAACCCCCTGTGTTGGTGTTGGTGCCCATTCCCAGCCCTCCAAAAGAGGGCGAAGTCCGACAGCAGGCACCGTTTGTCTTGAGCTGGGCTCGCTGCTGGTGCCGCCGTGGGCGCTGTAAACTTTTGAGGCAGAAGGCCGTCGCCCAAAAACGGCTGCTATTGGTTTTGGACAACAGTGTGCTGTTGGGCCTCGGACCTTTTCTTTTCCGTACCCATCTTGGGCGTCCAACAGGAGACTGGTGGCGCCCAGCGACGACCAAGGTGGACGACACCAGTGCACGGCTTCCAGGCGCGGGTGCTCGTCAATTGGGCGGCCAGCCCACCGCGTCCGAGGCGGAGTTTGCCCGGGTGGCCGCGGAGCCCTCCCCAAGACGGAGGGCCGCGCGTCGGAACAGACGGCGCGGCGACACACGGAGTGCAGCAGTGTGTTGGCGTCGCGGCCACGTGCGCGGCGGAGTGGCGTGGCCAAGTTCTGGGCGCCCAGTGGGAAATGGTGGCCCCCGTGGCCTGCAGCCGCGGCAGGGCTCCCTGAGACCCGCCGCCCGCGACGGTGCTCCGCAGCAGGCCCCCCCCCGGCCCCCGGAGGCGGACCTCCCCGCCGCCCCGCCTCGCCGGGGGGCGCGGCCTGCGCCCCGTGCTGGCGCCCCGCGGCACGACTGCCCCTGCTGCTTGGGCTGTGCGGCGCACCGCTGCGGCGGCTGCATTCGGGCGGGGCTGGCGCAGGGGCGATGCGATCGGAGGCCCAGAGGTTGGCACCGGCACGCGCGTCGGCGGTGTGCTGCCTGCCTCTGAGGGGAGGTGCTGGTCCCGACCTCGGTGATGGTGGCGGTACTCTGGCTTCCCAGGTGGCCGAGAGATGTTCCACCAACGCCCAAATCCAGGATCGCCTTCCTCCCGCGGAGGCACCCCCTGGTGTTGGTGCTGGTGCCCACTTCCAGGCCCCCACGAATCCCTCCCGACCGTTCCAGGACGTTCTGGGAAGTCCGCGGCGCCCAGGGCATCCTCCAGGGCCGCCAGAGCTTCCACGGCGCCCGCAGCTCCCGACAGAAGCCCCGAGGGAGCGGCCGCCCGCGCCGCGGCCAAGAAGCTCCGCGCGCCCACCGGTCGAGCGGGAGGTCGGCGGCGGAGCTGCGGCGGCGAGCGAGGGGGGGGAAGCGGGCAGGAGAAGGCCTTCTCGCGAAGAAGGAACAAAACGGCATCGACGAGGCGCCGCTGGGGCGGAACACCATCTTGTTCATCCAGGAGCACGAGCTCTCGCACGATTACGTGGGCGAGGTCAGTGCAGCTTGCTTCAGCAGGCACCTCGCGGCAGGGCTCACGACTCGGCGACGGGCCCTGGAGGCGGTCGCACAGCGGGGGTGGGCTTCGTGGCGCCCCGCTGCCTGGGCCTTACTTGCCTGGACGGGGTCGCAACCTATGACTTCTCACCTCCAGCTTCGCCAGGGCGCGTCGCAGCGGCCTGGGCAGCAGGGTTCCTGCAGGGCGGCCTCATGCTGGTCACCGCCTACTTGGTCAACGAGGGGTGGGCCATCCGCAACCTCTCCAGAGGCCATCGGGGAGCTGATCAGGGCATGCGACATTCCGTGGGTCCTGCAGGCGGGCTTCAACAACGCGCCCGACTCGTTGCAGGCGGGGGACTGGTGCGGCGACGTGGGGGGCATCGCCTTCGCGCCTGAGGCAGTCGCTTGCCAGGGCAGGGGCGGGGGCCGCATCATCGACTTCTTTGTAGTGGACGCGCGCGTCGCCCACGCTTTCGGCAGAGCGCAGGTGATGGATGCGTCGATCTACCCCCGCAGCCCCGTCAGCTTGGTGACCAGCCAGCCCTTGCGCATGATGGCGGGCTGGCGGCTGGTCAAGCCGAGGGCCTTCCCCGCGCGGCTGCCTATGGGCTGCCGCCAGGGGCCGCCCGATTGGCCACAGTTCGACCCCGAGGCGCTGTGCGGCGATGACGAGCTGGAGGACCTCTGGCGTGGCTTCTCGGCTGCGGCCGAGGCTGATTAGCAGGGCGTCTTCGACCTGGTCGGGGGGGGGGGCGACTTCGTCGGCCGCGGCGACTTCCCCAGGTGGGCCCGCGCCCCCCTGGCCGGCCCTGGGGCGCGCGCCCGACTTCGAGGCGCCGCGCGCTCGAGGGCATGGCGCTGGGCGGCGGCCAGAACAGGGGACCTGGTCCTGCTCGCGGACGCGGCGCGCCGGCAGGGTTCATGGGCGCCCTTGGCGAGCCGCTGGCGCAGGTCGCATCGGCGCCTCACCCGCGGCGCAGCTCGCTGGCGCGCGGCCCCGGGCAGCGACGAGGCAGCCCCGGTCCACCAGGAGCTCCTGGCCCTCGCGGCCCTGCGGTGGACGGGGGGTGCCCTGCGCGGCGACGCTCTTACGGCCATGGCCTTGCAGCGCAGGGCTGCAGCTCGGGCCTTCGGGATCGAGCAGGGCCCGAAGAACCGGCGGGCCAAGGCGTGGCGCGAGAGGCTGCGCGACGGCTCCGTGGGGGGCGCTGGCTTCATCCACCGCGTGTCCAACTGGGAGCGCAGCGTCACCCCCGCCATCGGAGCCCTGCAGGGGCCGCGCCAACCTGGACATGTCCGACCCCCAGGTCGTCGTGGACGCCGCGGCCCTCGACTGGATCGACCTCCGGACCTCCCGCGGCGCCGAGGGCCGATGCGAGATCGACAGGCCGTGGGAACAGGTGGAATTCCCCCGCAGCCTGGCCCGCCCCACTCCCAGCGAAATTCGAAAGATTTGGCGAGCCTTCCCCGGGCGCGCGGGAGTGGGGGTGGACAACTGGCATCCGAGGTGGTGGGGGTTCCTGAGTGACGGGGGCCTAGGATTCCTGGCCGCTTTTGTGGCCATCGCCTCTCGCGCTGCGCGCTGCCCCCCCCCCCGCCCTCCCCAGCTGCGGTATGTGCTGCATTTTTCAGCTTTCCAAGCTGTCGGGGGGCACGGGGCCCATCGGTCTGCTCGCCGCGAGCCCGAGGCTGGTCGAGCGAGCCCACGCGATTTTTCTTTGTCGGGCACGGGAGTTTTGGATCTCTTCAAAGCTTTCGAACATTGCAACATGTACCTCCTGTGGGCCCAGGGGCCCAGGCGCGGATTCCCGCCCCGGCTCTTGAAACTCCTGATCTCCAATTATACTAGTGAGCGTTTCTCTCGGGGAGTTGCCCCTGCCCGCTCTGTGGTCACCTTCTCGGCGGTGGTGGCGGGGAGTGCGGGGAGGGGGGGGGGGGGGGCTCGCTGTCTGAAGCTAGCCTTGCTCGCGGCCACGGACTCGCTGTCTCGCGTGTGCCCGACCTTCCTTCTAAAGCTTTACGTTGACGACCTCATCCTCCAGGCTAGAGGCTCGGACGAAGAAGTTCCCGTTCAGCTGTGTGATGGTATCGCCCAGTATGTCGAGGCCATGGGGGCCGGGGGCGTCCCCGTTCCCAGGACCAGGCCAGGTGGCCCTCCAGGGAAAGGCTTTATCCTGGCGGCAAGCTCTTCTCTCAGGGCCCGAATTCGAGGGTGGGCCTAAAGTCTTGGCCTGGGCGTCCTGGGTCACAGCTCCCAGTTGGGGGTGGATTCGGCTGACGGCGCCCCGATCCACGTCGGGCGTGGGTTCGAGGATAGGCTGACCAGCGCCCGACGTCGGAAGCTCAAGCTCAAAAGTTTAGCCAAGCAGGGGGCCAGGCCATTTAAAGTCGCTCGAATGGGGTTCGCGCCGTCGATTCTGCGCGGTGCTGCGTGTCTGGGCCTGGGCCCCGCTCGAACCGACCAGGCCCGAATTCTGATGGCTGGCGCTCTTGGGGGGAACTCGGTCGGTAAGGGTCGGGCTCTTCGGCTTTGGGCCCTCCAGCGCGACCCCCTGGTGGATGCCTGCGCGCGGTCCCTGGTCAAGTGGGCGTCGGCTGCGTGGGAAGGCCGCCGCGAGGGGCTGATGCAGCAGGCCTTGAGGCGAGCCTCGGTCGCGGCCGCGCAGG